GTTCAATTGCACCGTGACACAAATTCCATAAATCATCACATTAAATTGGTGCATCAATAAAACAGTAACCAAAGAACTCAGTGTACCTCATATTAAAACTAATAAAACAGTTCAGTAATAATTAGGGAAAACACCTCGATAATAGGTTCAAATTGTAGATCTACTGATTGCTGGTTTCACCACGCTCTGCTATAGTTTTCGAACCTATTTTATAATAACACTATATTACTTATGGGTAACATAAATAAATCTCTAAAATCATAAAATTTACGGGTCTTACGGGTGAATACTGACACACGTGGTTTAACTGATCTAGAAGAGCTGGGTCGAGCTGTCGAACGATCCGGAGAATCTCTTGTACCTTCAAACAATAATAATTTATCAGCCCCAAATCTTACTTAATTGTTCAAAGCTAAAATTCTTAAGTATATAAGCATTTTTAGGGTTTGATTATCAATTTGGAGGATTTTCGGGTTTGAATTTGGCCAAACGGATTGCGGAATCGGAATCAAGACGTCGAAAAACATAAAGTATGACTTTTCAAAAATTTAAATTCTTGGTCAAAGTCAAAGTCAACCACTTTGACCGTCGATTTGGAGGTCTTCGGGTTCGAATTTGGCAAAATAGATAGCGGAAACAGATTCGGCACATCGAAAACTATAAGAATATGTATACCAAAAAAGATTTACGGTCGTTTAAGGGTCGGTCAAAGCCATTTAAGGTTCTGGTCAAATAAAGTCAATGGTCAACGGTCAACGGTCAACGGTCGGGTCGGGTCAACGGTCGGGTTGGGTCGGGTCAAACCGGTTTTTCAGCTGCTCACTCTCCCTGCGGCGGTGCGTGAGGCCTCCTCCAGGGGTCTAAAAATTACGGAAAAATTTTCAAAAATTATTTTGAGCGATTTCGAGATACTTACAATGATCAGTTCAAATTTTTGAACGGCGGAGAGCTCAAATTTCAACTCGGCCGAATCTTTGACTGCTCCACCTCCTCACGCGTCGCCGTCGACGGCGAACAAGGTTGACACCGGCGGACTCGCAACGACACAAGGAACACGATGGTGCAGGAGGTGTCGTAAACGGAGCAACGATCGGCGGTGAATTTAAGATTTTCCCGACGATAGAGCTAACAAAAACGTCGAGACTTTGACTGTAAATTCCCGACGTTTGGCAGCGTTTCGCTTCAATTAAATTGAAGGATTTGTTCCTGACTCGATAACGAACACGATGGTGATTTCAAAACGACGATCGGAATTCGGACGGCGTCAGGATCTAAGTCAGAAACTGGCGTAGGGGAAAGGGAATTTGGGAGTGTGGTTTTTTATTTTTGAAATAGAAACCACACGTATATATCATATAACCCCAAACTTATCTAATTTTTTTGGGTAAATTCAGGGCTTAGTCATTGAATTTTCTTTAACTCTAAAACAAGCTCCAAGTTTTAAAATCTTTCAATTTAGTCCCCAAATTTTCGCCAATTTTCACAATTAACCTCCAATTTCAATTAAATACTATTTTGTAAATATTCGGGTTGTTACAAGATGAATCTAATGATATCACAAGAAAGAAGGGCAATGAGATTCAAAAGAAGAGAGAAAATGAAACAGAAACTGAGTGATTGTTTTATTTAACATGTATTAACATTAGCATAAAATAAAGACATAACAGCAAATGAGAAAATTGGAGTCTAAAAAACACAGGACCGTTCACAGGAAAATTGGAGTTTAAAAAACACAGGAACGTTCACAGGGATGGACAGAGGGAGTTGAACACATGAACAATCAAAGGGATGGATCAAGGGAGGTTAATAGAGCGGTCGTACCTACAAATTTTAAATTCTTATTTAATTTTTTTATTGATAATCTATTTTCATTCTACTAAAATTTTATCTTTTCTAACATAAAATCTTTAATCCATACCCGACAACTGTAGTTTTAACCCCAATCCACAAAGGGAAGCGATGCATAACCAGGCTCCGGAGGAGGCTGCAAGGACGGCGGCAGATTGCCCCACGACATTGTCATACCATTACCAGTTCCCTCTACACCACCTATAAAATTGCAACCACATTACAACATATCCTTAATTGCATAGCATAAATAAATATGGATTGATAATGAAAAGACCTGGTGCAGGTTGAGGAATAGGGCTCCAGGAATCGTTGTTGGGATGGAAATATTTGCAGTTATCTCCGTACTGGCAAAATCCCTAGAAACAAGTGCAGTTAGATATTACTATACGATTTAAGTAACAAAAAAAATCGAATTCCGAGATAAGAGAGGGATGGTTAATTACCGTATTGAGGAAGCGATTGCAGACGCCTTTCGAAAAGGGTTGCGATGAACTTTGATAGAGATCTGAAATCACAAAGTGAATGCTTGAATGAATAGAAAGCAAGGAAAGAAAAAAGAAAGAGAGTCTGTGTTAGATTAGTCTAGAAATTAATTTGACAAGTTGAAAATTTCATCTTGGTTGGTGATTAATTTATTGTAAATTTCATCTTGGTTGGTGACCAAACTTTGAACATGTGAATTTTATATTTGGTGGTTAACTTGTACACATTGGAAAATTCTTTGGTAGGTGGTCAAACTTTGAACATATTGTTCTTAAAACTCAACTATAAATAGGCTTAAGTATTTCCATTAGAAATCATCCAAAAAATAAGTTCTTTCTTCCTCTTGTATTATTCATTCTCCTACTTTGGGAATTCTAAAGAATTCCATTTGTTGTAATATTGGCGATATAGTGAAGTTATCATCCGGTGTGGTGCCCGAGGAGTAGACGATATTCTCGTCGAACCTCGTAAATTTGGTATGTTCTCTCCTTTATTGTTTTTATTCGGTTCTTTTCATTGTGTTTCAATATTCAATAGTTTGACAGGTTTATTCGCTGTGCAACATTTGGTGGTTTTAATCTTGACATTTTAGGTCAATTTTAAAACTACGTTCGTGTGGGAAATAACCCGTTTTCCCCAACAATTGGCGTCAGAGCTTCGGTTGAGGTTATCCTGGTGGTTCCGTTGCTGAAAAGATACAGTTCGTGATATTGAATATTGTTCGTTAGAATTAAAATGTCAAAATACAGATCAGTTGAGACATCAAGCTCTTCATCTGGACCGGTGAGGAGGGTGATGTCAAATGCAAATTTCTCGGTGGTAACAGTAATCAAATTCAATCATTGTTTGAACTTGATTAACATACTGAAAGTATGAACACCTTCGGGTGTGTGGCGCTTGTGAGCGCAATTAGAGGCACTACAAATTTGGGAAGTTGAAGAAGTTGAGCAGGCTTGGTAATTTCAAGCCAAGTTTGAGATTTGTTAGATTTGTCTAGAAATTAAGTTGACAAGTTGAAAATTTTATCTTGGTTGGTGGCCAACTTATTGGAAATTTCATATTGGTTGGTGGTCAAACTTTGAACATGTGAATTTTATATTTGGTGGCTAACTTGTACACATTGAAAAATTCTTTGGTAGGTGGCCAAACTTTGAACATATTGTTCTTAAAACTCAACTATAAATAAGCTTAAGTATTTCCATTAGAAATCATCCAAAAAACAAGTTTTTTCTTCCTCTTGTATTCTTCATTCTCCCACTTTGGGAATTCTAAAGAATTTCATTTGTTGTAATATTGACGATATGGTGAAGTTATCATCCAGTGTGGTGTCCGAGGAGTAGACGATATTCTCGTCGAATCTCGTAAATTTGGTGTGTTCTCTCCTTTATTGTTTTTATTCGGTTCTTTTCATTGTGTTTCAATATTCAATAGTTTGACATGTTTATCCGTTGTGAAACTTTTGGTGGTTTTAATCTTGACATTTTAGGTCAATTTTAAAACTACGTTCGTGTGGGAAATAACTCGTTTTCCCCAACAGTCTGAATGAAAGGAGTAGGTACCGGGGGCGTTGAGGGAGTGGAACCATTGGGCTTTGGCACGGAGGTGTTGGACGCCCTGCAGATGCCGTTTTCGAGCACCTGGGGTGTCTTAGGATTGCTTATCGCAGTAGTCGCAGTAGTACTTCCCTATCGGCATTAATCTCTCTCCTATCACTCGTTCAATTTACTGCTATTATTTAATCTATTATAATAGGATGTTCCTCAGTCATCCAATGGTTGCTGACGCTGCTACAAAGAAGCCTTTGTAGAAGAAGAAAGAAGCCTTTGCCTTCCCCTTGTTCTTCTTACTTTGTTATTTCAATCTAGCATCTTCATATATGTTTCATAAGGATAAATTGCAAATTTCAACTTTTTTACTTTGTATTGTTTCAATTTAACCATTAAACTTTTAAATTATTTATGTTTTAATCATTCCATCGTTAAATCACAAAACAAGTAATATCATTCGGGCTACTAGGGATGAGCGTTCGAATGAGTTGAGTAGTGTCCAATCAAAAAATTTCAAGTTAACGAGTCGTATTTTATAACTCGAACTTATCTTGAATTTTTTTTGAATCAATTATTCTAATTTATATATATTTTATATTCTTTTCACGTAATAAGGTTATTTAATATATCAAATACAATCTAAATTTATAAAATATGTTCATAATATTATAATTTTAAGAAAATATTTTGAGAGAGAGTAAAATATTGATGATAACATAAAAAAGTCAATGAATTGATGAGAATAAAGAATTTGTAAACAATTGTAATCAAAAGACAATTGAGTAAAATGTAAAAGTAAGAGACCAAGTAAAATATATATTTGGTAGAAAAACAGACTTAAAATAAAACATGAATCGAATAAATAATAAAATTATGAAAAATTAAGAGACTAAATTAAAAAATAAAAAAATTGTTATCAAAAAGAAGAATTGCAAGTACATATGCATTCTATGATGATTTAAGAACATGTGGTTTAAATTTAATAAAAAAATATAATTAAAATGAAGGAAAAATTGAATGAATAATGAAATTAAAGATTAAATCATAAAACTGTCAGCTTTTACATAATTAGTATTCTCTAAATGCAAACAAAAAGTAATCTAAGTTATACAAAAAATATGAGAAAAAAACTTATAAAAATTTAAATCTCTAAATCTTAATCCCCAAACCATCAGCTTTTACATTATTAGTATTCTGTAAATATCTGCTTTTACATATAACACACATATATAAAAAGTAAATTGCGTACATAAGATGACAATACACTTTCTCAACTGCTCTGTTACATTTTGCATTAAATTACAAACCAAGACTTGGACATTGCTTTCTTGCATGCTCCGGAATCAATTTCACCAGAGTCTCTACTGGAACACCCTTCAGTTCTGGCGGACAACACAAGCAATCAGCATTCCTACATCTCAACAACATTCAATAACCCTTGCTATAAACAAAAATGTTCTTACCATGAGGTTTAAAGTTGAATAATGGCGGAAGGACACGGCCATTAGGCAAGCGAACATTTGGATCACGCAGCTCGTCAGAGAAAGGATGGATCAACGCATCTAACTGCAACACGATACCATTTTACGACATGAGATGCTTTAAAACAAATCAATGACTTTTACATATGTCACAGACCACAATGTTTTAGCTCTTCTATTCTATCATCTCCCCACCCCGAAACAAAACAACAGAGAAACACATTAACCTTTCTCTTTTATGTTTCCATGACTAATACCAAACCATATAATTACTGAAATTTAAAAAAAGATAATCTAGCCCATAAGCTTCATTTTCTACTGCGATTTTTCAATTCCCACTTTTAATCGGGAAGGATTCGAGCTTACTCCAAAGTAATGCACAGGGCAGCCTGAAGGAAAATATTTTAATATAAAGATTTTATAAACTCACAGCATTGCAACGGAGATTAGGAGAGTATTGCAAAAATCTTGACACCAAATCAACAGCTTCAGGAGGCATACGCCTATGGAATATCTAGAACCAACAACAAAAAGAAAACATAAGGTCACGTAAACAAAGATTATTGGCACAACCTTTTTTTTCTGATTGTTAATACCTTGTGCCATGGGTGAGCCTTAATCTGAGGGAATTTGAACTCTGTATAGTTAGGGTTCATGCACTTAATCTCCTCTCGTGTTGGAGTTCCCAGTACCTATAGAAAACAGTGATTATCCATAACTGTTAAAGAGAAATAGTCAATTTGACATTCGGTGAGATGAGAGCATGCTATTATAATACCATAATGATATATGACAGAGAACTACAACCAAAATTCTTAGAGCACAAGTACACCTACAAACGACACATTCACAAGGAGCACATGGACTTAATGATGTTATTGTTAAGAAAGAACTAGTAGGAACAATGATACATATGTAAATTTTCATGCAGAAAAAAAAATTTCATCCCATCAACGTAATCAACAAGGAAAAGACACTTGAAATGGTATAGATATATGCTTATGTGCATACATTTCTATGTATACATATGTGTGCATCACTAACTAATAATTTAGTCAGAATCAAAATACCTTAATAATCTCCACAAGCTGGTCTACTCCACTCTCACCGGGAAACAGAGGCTGACAAGTGAAAAGGTCTTTAGTACAACACACCAAGGACAATTCAATGCAACAACTACAATAATGAACCTCATTTGATCAAGCTTCCTACCTGCCCAAGTAAAAGCTCGGCAAGGACACAGCCAGCAGACCAGATGTCAATAGCTGTAGTGTACTCAGTTGCCCCAAAAATTAGCTCAGGTGCTCTATAATACCTTGAGCAAATGTAGGATATGTTCGGCTCCCCTTTCACCTGCCAAGAAAAGTAAGTATAAAAGTGTAAGACCTAAACAAAAATCAATGATTGATACTTAAACAAAGAAGAAAAAGTTAATAGAAATTCCAACCTACCAAGACTTTTGCACTTCCAAAATCACATAGTTTAACCAGATGAGTGTGTGGATTTACCTGCAGGAAGAAAGGACACAAAAGCACAACCATAGGATCACTGAATTGGCAGTCATGAGACATAACAAAGAGACTTGACATGTTTCATTCATGGTGCAGATAAAGAAACAGTACTACTATACTCGACCAACAACGAGATGTCATATCCCAGAAGAAACAAATATGTGAACATACCAAAATGTTTTGAGGTTTAATGTCCCGGTGACACACACCAATGCAGCGATGGATGTAAGACAGTCCCCTAAATATCTGCAAGCATCAACCTTATTAGCATCTCAGCATCTCAACCAAGCTTCAATTTAGAAAACAGAAGAGGAACCAAATTTTGGAAAACCAAACACTTTACCTGGTATGTGTAAAGTTTCACGTATATCAATGGCATCCTTTGGTTCAACTTGTTATAGTGCTTGATCACACGATGAACAGTTTCAGGTACATACTCGAGTACCAAATTTAGATAAAGTTCACCCTTTTCAGTCGTTGAAACAAAACAATGCTTCAAAGCTACAACATTTGGGTGGTCAAGAAGATGCATTGTTTGCAACTCACGATTCTTGTATCTCTTATCTTGAAGAACCTTCTTTATAGCAACACTTTCACCAGTCTCTAAGCACTTTGCCTAAATTTAAAAGAACATATGTTGATAATATACAAATGAAAATTAGAATTCTTTTCCACCATACAGAAACAAATGAACAAGAGGGCTTTTACCTGGAAAACAATTCCGAATGATCCATGTCCAACCACACGCTCAGCCATGTAACTTATAGTCTGGAATTTTGAACAGATAGTGTTTTACTAGAAGAAAATGGGGTAAAAGACTAAAAACTTGTACTGGCTCACTCATAACAATGACATCTCACACAAGGGAGAAAAAATTGTACCTGTTTCGGCTGACCATTTCTACCTCCTATAGTTGTCACAATTATATGTCCCGTCTCTGTTCCATTACCATCCACAAGTGTTGCTTCAATTTCCTACAATTTTAAGAGGATCAATGAGTTACAGCTGCTTTTGTTTAATGAAATAATTTGCAAATGTGTTGGTGTTAAAGTAATCAAAGAGGGAAAGAAATGCAAAATGCAGGGAACCGTAATGGTTAAAAACAGTCGAACAAATGAATGCTCACTTTGTCTTCTCTAATTTTCATGTCGTGCATCTCCTCGGGTAACTTGTCAACACCAGCAGCACTAGATTGTCTTAAACCAGATGCAGGCGCCATGCCCACGGACGCCATCTGCAGCACAAAGATTGTCCTAATCCTATTTCTTCCTCCTCAAAAGCCAGCCAATCATCTACAACACAAGAAGGGAAAAAAATGTTAATAAACTCGCTGAGAGATTATTGGTAACAATTTCCATAGTTTTCTACAACCTATATTAACTGCAAACAACCTTACATTATCAACAATCAAGGGAAATTAAACCCTTTAAACAAATATAGCAGTTCAAGCTTGGCAGAACAATTCTCAGCCAGTCAAAACCAAAATATAAAAATATCAACAGACACTCTTTATTTTGAAAAACAAAAGCAAAAGAACCTTACAAAAGATTTCAGTCAATCAAAGCAAAAACATTTCATTAAGTAAAAAGAAGCTAACCCAGCTTAACAAACTAAAAGACCCCAGAAAAAAAAACATAAAATGATTTCTAGGTATGAATACATTTCATCATCAAGGACTTACCAAGCAAATTTATACCAGCAACAAAGAAAACTATTTCCACTTAACTACTTACTTAAGCCCTAAAAATGCAGGAAAAAAAGATAGATTATTTAAGACCCATCTTTCAATCATCTCCTCAACAATAATCAAAAGTAAAATTTGTTCTAAAAAAGTTACCAAAAAAATATTTAGACTGTAAAATCCAGACAGAGAAGTATCTAATGCTTCATATACATAATTAAAAAAAAAAGGGGAACTATAGATCGAAGACAGATGATGATAACCAAAAAGATGGTATCCGACACAAACGAGTTTAAGGGGGGGAATGCAGAAAGTGCATTAGAAAAAGAGAAAGAAAAATTGAAATGGAAAGGGAAAATAAGAGGATGATGTACCGATACTTAGAAACAGAGTAATTGAGAAGAAAAAGTGGGCGGCGGGAGCCGACGCGAGGGCGAATGCGTTTAATGAGGGAGAGAAAAAGGAAAGTCAAGTACGGGAAATTATTAGTGTTTATTTTTACATGATGTGGTGACGACGACGATGATTGTCTTCGAGTATTTGACCTTTTGGTCTGGTTTTTTTAGTTGTTTTAATTTTATAGGTGAAATTATTTTTATTTTTAATAATTTTTAGTTGATTTTGACGGTTAATAAGGAGGCTTTTGTGCGGTGTCTCCTGCGGTTGATATTTATCTAATCTAATGAAACAATTTTTTTTAAAAAAAAAATCTAAACAAACAAACAAATCAATATCAAAACAGATATAAAACATCTAAAACTTAACAAATATTTTTACTCGAATCAAATAATCTTAATTGTTAAAAATTATTATTATATTTTGAAGTTTTATATTTTAACATAATATTTATAGAAATATATAAATATTTATTATCAAATGATTACTTTTTTTAAATAATTATTTCATATAATTATGATATAAAAACTAATCATATCAAATTTACAATAAAATATCTAAAATACTCATTTATCATATCTTAACTGTTGGTGAAGTCAGGCAGGCTTTAATGAGGGGCATCAAATGACACTCCAAAAATTTTGGAAAACTTATTTATATATAAATTTAATATAAAAATATTTAAAAGTAAATAGAATAAATATACTTTTTAAAAAATATTCTCTTAAATATAAATTGATATCTATTATTTATTTCCATTCACTTATAAAGAAATTATTCGTAAAATTTTTAAATTTGACACCTCAAAATAAATTTTCTAGCTCTACTCTTGATCTTAACAATAATATTAAACACTCGTACTTTATGTTAACTTTTTTAAATCATTTTTTACTATAATTCTTTTAAAATAATATTAAACTAAATAAGCAGAGGAACAGCCTCGTAATGTTGTAATAATGGCAAATAAAAACCTATAGGATCATTTCCGGGAAAAATATATGACATAATAAAAAAATTATTCTCTAATATTTAAAAAAATAATTATTTTATCTATCATGTTTAGATTAATTTTAGCCTTCAATTTTATATTTTGAACTAAAATGTCCACTATTAAATGAAAATTGTTAATTGATTAATTGACAATGTTTCACACCGACGTGAAAATTTTATGTGTGATGCTACTTTAGCAAAAAAAATATTTTTAAAATAAATTATAATTATAATTAATTACATATAAATTTATAAAAAATATATATATTTAAAAATAATTTAAAAATAGTTGACATTATACATGGACCTGTCGGTCTAGGGATGGGCATGAGTCGGGTTTTAGCCAACCCGACCCGATCTGAAAATTTTATATCTTTCACCCAACCCAACCCGAAAAACATATACCCTCCACCGACCCGAACTTGATCCGAATTTTTGGGATAAAATCTGAACCCGACCTGAAATAATTAAAAAAAGTATTTTTATTCAATAAAAATAGTGATTTAATTGAAAAAATAATATATAGATAGGTATTATTGTAATTATTTATAAATATATAAGGTAAAATTATATTTTTTCTATTCGGATCGGGTCAAGTATTTTTCACCCTAAACTTTAATCCGACCTGACCCAAACACGAATTTTTTTTATAAAAAACCTGACCCGATCGGGTCATAACCTGTTGGGTTCAAGTCTCATGCCCATCTCCACCTATCACATCAATAGGAAGCGTTGTTCGTTAGTCAACTAAAGATTTTCATCCACTCAAGAGATATTTTATTATAAAATGAAACATATGAGGCTAAAATTTTTCCAGAAAAATAAAAATGATAGGGGACAAATTGATCATTTACACAAATGTTGTAAACTATTGAGTAAAATTTTCATCAACTATTATTATATATTTTTATATTAAATTTATTAAATTATTATAATAATTATGAAAAAGTGACAAATTTAATAATGATTCTTTTTATAATTGAATAAAATTTAGGATAAATATCACTTAGATATGTCAAAATAATCTTCTCTCTAAGTGTTGGTTAGTCTCTCTTGAATTAATTGTTTAAATTTAAACATTATTTTGGAACTTTTAAAGTGAAACGATTATTTAAATATGGGCCATTACTTTGTTCTTTTTCAAGTCATCGGGCTGCGCAGGAACTGGTAGTGGAGCAAAGCCCATAGTACAAATGCCACGATCCATTCCCGCCTCCCTGCATATTCAAATCACTCACTGATCACAGTAACTAAGAAGATTTAACGATGGATCGCAATGCAAGAGCAAGAGCGGGAGGAGTCGTTGATGTTTGGGCAGAAATCACAGGGGCACCGGAACAACAACAGCAATCTACAGTCCAACCCATCTATCAGAGAAGACGTCAACCGTCTCTCCCTACCCCCACTGACTCAGACCACCAGCTGAGGCCGCAACACTCTAACCACAGTCGCGTCAGTTTCGCCGCCGCCGCTGACGCCAAGCGCGTCAGTTGGAATCGCTCGCTTTCCACCAGGTTCCTTCTTTCTGTTCCATTTCCTCATTTTTATACAACCAAGGATTAGGATAAGAGATTACGCCTGATTGTGCGGCTGCCCGTACTACAATTTAATGTTTGTCAGTTTATGCTGGTTATTTACTGTTCCGGGTTTCTATTTTTTAGGTTTCGGTGTTTGCTCAACAATCTTCAAAGGATAGGATCCAATTATATAATGTCAAACTTTTTTAGTTTTATATAAATTTATCACAATCTATTTTCTTATCAATAATCTCAACCATCTATTTTCACTGTTAAATCTATTTAAAATTAAAAAAGTTTCATTTGCTTTGCACTGGTGGGTCTTATTGTTACTCATATTTTTGCTTAATTCAGAGGGAGGACAAGCATTGCTGTTGCTCCTTGCGTGGCCAATGAACCACAACAAAAGCAGCCCAGGAGAAGGGGAAAACCACCTGTTCCTAAAGTATGACTCACAGACCTTGTATTGCCTATATCATCACATACAATCTCAAGTCTGAACTTTGTTTCCTTCATTTCACCTGTTGCTGCACAACTACTAATGTCCAAAACCAATATAGTGTCCTCAGAAAGGTGCATTGGGATTACTTTGTCATTGCAATTTCAATTTTTTTTTGTCTTCTTTGTTTACAGGGAAAGATTGCAGAACATCCGAACTTCGAGAAGGAGAGAGAATATTTCCGAGATGTTGATTCCTTTGAGTTATTGGAGGAGAGCCCTTCATCAAAACACTTTGGGACATGGGCAACGGGTAATCAAACTGTCCCTGATCCTATACCACCTATTTCATCCAGATTAGAGAAGTGGCTCTTATCAAAGAAGATAAACTTCAGTTGTGGGCCTTCTTCCACTTTGTCCAAAATATTGGAAACTCCTGCTTCAATGGATCACATATATACCGATGATCTGGATTCTTCAATTGTGAAAACTCTTGAAAAGTGCGGTCCAAAATCACTTGTTCAAGTTTGTGAAGATATAAGTGCAAGTTATGGTGACCAAGGTTGTGAAGATATAAATGCTTCCATTAGGAAGCTTTCCTTGGCATCTACAACAACATCACATTTTGATCGTATTGATCCATTTACCGCTTTGCTGGGAATCTGTGAACAGTCAACACCGTTACAATTTCTTGATATTTTCTCTAAGTATTGGTTAGTCTCTCTTGAATTAATTGTTTTCATTTTCCCCTTGAAGAAAACTGCACATAATTTATTTATGTGATTTTTCGTGCAAGTGGAGGGTGAGCCTCATTGCAATGATAGCTTGTGTACATCTGACTTTACCACAGTGCTGTCTGCCATTGAGTATTGACTGTTGTGTTGTCATAAAATATGCCGTCCCATTTTCAGAAATTAGAAATGCATATTTCTATTCTATGTTCAAGAGTTTCACCGATCTTTGTGATCCTGTTAGTTCCAATGGTGTTTAGCTCATTGCATTATTATTCTATTCCTCTCTGCACTAAATAGTTGATAGTGCGTACTGCTTGGGCTGATTATGGTGAAATCTTCTTGATTCAGTGCCCCAGAAAATATTGCTAAAGTTGGTGAAGGTACTTATGGAGAAGCCTTCAGAGCAGGCAATACTGTTTGCAAAATAGTTCCGTTTGATGGGGATTTCCCAGTAAATGGAGAAGTGCAAAAGGTATTGATTCTAATGAAATTAACTTTTCTGTAAGTAGTTTGCTGGTTAAATTATTCTTTTGCATGAAGACTTTGTTTTTGGATGAATTCATGATTTGCTTGCCTCATCACTAACCATTATTCTTTTCTATGCTTCAGAAATCGGAAGAATTGCTTGAGGAGGCTGTGCTTTCAAAAGCTCTTAATAGTTTACGAGAATTTGAGAAGAATGATTTTAATGCTTGCACGACCTTTATAGAAACAATTGAGTATGTATTCCACATCACTATTTTCTATATCATTCTTTGTAACTTACCTTCTGATAACCATAAGCAAACATTTCAATTAGAAACAGTTTTCATTCTTACTTGGCTTTTTAGGGTCACAGTTCATGAAATATGTGCCTAATAATGTATGATTGGTTGTGCACTTCCAATTTTCTAATCACGTTTTCTGTAGCATGGACAGAAATTTGTGCTTCCTATTTGATGACTTATTATTCAGATTATCTCTTATTGATCTCTTTCTTTGATAGTTTAAAGGTCTGCCAAGGTTTGTATGATGCGGCATTGGTTAGAACTTGGGAAAAATGGGATGAAAAGAATGGCTCAGAAAATGATCACCCCAAAGAATTCCCAGAGAAACAGGTACATCTTCTTCCTGTTGAATATGTGTAAGCAAGAAAGTTATAAATAAATACTTTATGAATACTGCACGTATAGAAAACTCCCGAAGTACAAATACTTTTTGTTTACCAATACTCTTTTGCTGACCCTGATGAACTTGCCTTCAGCGCTATCTCGTATTTGTCCTACAACATGGTGGCAAAGATCTTGAAAGCTTTGTACTTGAGAATTTTGATGAAGCACGAAGTTTATTGGTTCAGGTAAATCAAAGAGACTTATCACATTATTCAAACAAACTTGAAAATTGATTTTCTAATTAAAAAGTTCAAATCTTGTTTGTGGATTATTTTATCCGTTATTACCAGCTCAAAGTGAACTTATCAATTGTCTTGCAGGTTACGGCAGCCATGGCTGTGGCTGAAGCTGCATATGAATTTGAACACCGTGACTTGCATTGGTCCGCTTGCTGTCAATTTCTTTTATGGTAAATTGGTGTCTTGATTCTGATCACTGATCATTTTCTCTCCTTTCTTTACAGGGGAAACATACTTTTGAGCCGAAAAGATTCTGTCACTATGAAATTTATGCTAGAGGGCAAACAAATATCCTTCAGGACATATGGATTATCAGTGTCAATAATTGATTTTACGTTGTCGAGATTAAACACCGGTGAAGTTTTCTCAGCTTCTTTCTTTTATTCCTTTTCAAAATTTGAACTTCATCAGAAATTTTATGTGATAAAAATTTTCTAATGACTTTGGTATACAGGAGAAAACATACTCTTTTTGGATCTGTCACAGGACCCTTATCTTTTCAAAGGTCCAAAAGGAGATAAACAAGTAAGAAACAGAAACAAGCTGTGAATTTCGGTTCATAATTACATACAAAAAGCATTCACATCTAATCTAGCTAAACTAATTATGAAATGCAGTCAGAAACATATAGAAAAATGAAGGAGGTTACAGAAGATCACTGGGAAGGAAGGTACTTTTCCAATCTACTCACATATGAGAACAAACCACTTTTTCGGTTTCATCAATTCAAGCCTTGAAACTGTCTTACCACCCACCCCCACCTTATTATAACTGGATCCAACATTGTTACCGAAATTTTTGCTTAGATGTGTTCTTTTAGTAGAACCTTTGTTCTATTTCTTGGTTTTGCTGCTTTTGCAGTTGCTATTAATAGTTGTTAATCTGTAGTAGTATAATTGTTCCTAACTGGTGCAAGTCAATTTCTACGATCAAGTTTCGGTTGTATAATTGTTCTAGCATACACTATCAAGAACACATTTGAGGCATTTATAGTTTTCTGTTTTGATCGGGTTTTTTGTCGACCCGGGGTATATCCCAGGAGGCCATTTGATTGTCTTAAAGGGTTTGGTCACTTTCATTGAACCACATGTTTCTCATTGTTGATTTTTGTTGTTGTACAGTTTTCCCAGAACAAATGTGTTATGGTTAATATACTTGGTGGACATACTGCTGCTGAAGAAAACATATGTAAGTTATTTTTATCCTATAATAACTCGATGAAAAATGTTGCCGATCATTGCATTTTACTTGGCATAATGGGTTGTGTTTATTTGACAAAAAATGGCGAGGCAGTTACGTTCTTCAAAGAATGAGAGAGACATGCGGTCTCTGAAAAAGCGTCTGGACAAATATGATTCAGCTAAGGAAGCTATTTTCGATCCCTTCTTCGAGGACTTGCTTGTGAATAATTAAAACTTTTGAAGGCTTGAATGAATGATTCGAAATATTGTGTTTGGTACTGCTTTGTAATGGGAAATGGATGCAGCCTGGTTCTGGGGCTTGGGGTATTAGTTAATGAGGCATTGAATCTTTCATTCAACTCACATGACTGCCCTGCCATTATAGGCAGGCAACTTGGCAAAGGGAAATGTATGGTCTATATGTAATATATTAATATTTGGCCTGATATATAACAAGTATTGCTACTAGTATCTCCCATGTGTGCAGCTGGATTCGTCAAAATCAAATAATAGGTGATTTGATTGTCCAACTAAACCAACCTCAACTCTTTTACCTGTTCATTTAAGCTGCTCGTCTAATATTCAAACTTGTGGTCTGTTCTATAAAGACATGTATATGTTAATAAAGAAGATGAAAAGTAGTTGAAACTTTCTTACAATGAATGGTAGGTAACCCTGTTGTGTGACCAAACATAACGGATAAATAATGTATATTAGAGGTCTTTTATCAAGGTAGATCTTGGGGATACATTTTTTTTATTTCTTGTTCTTACTTCATATAAAAGGAAACCACCCTCGTGAATCCCTTCCGTCCGTCCATGTATGTGAAGTCAACAACACAAAATTGGTAAATGTTTTGTCACCATGGCGCTCGGTTCAGCTAATAATCCATAATGGGAGAGGGAAAAAATGTCATGCATGTTCCTATAACACTAATGTCACCTCAAATGTAGTTCACAATGAGGACAGACTCATGTACTACTACATCTACAAGCCTTTTTCTTTCCCAAAGGCAATGGCTCTAGCCTTTCCTAAAATCCTCTTTGGGTATTCATTATACACATTACCTACACTGCTAAACGGAATCACCGCTTCAAAAACACTACCAATATCAGCATCGACATGGAGACTATAATCTTGAAACCAGAGGTTTCCCAGAAATTCTGTTTCTCGTTGCCAACACTTGCAGATTGTTGTTTTGCAGCCAGCTGATCTCTAAGTTCTTTTAGTGCTTTGTCCCTTCGCTCTCCCATCTGCTAAAATGAGTAAGGATGAGCTCACCAAAGTGAAAAACTTGGCTCGGTATAATGACTGGTTTAGCAAAAGAATTTGTGCAAATTCAAAAGTGATCTAAACAAATTAGTAATCTGAGCACATTTTTAGTTTTAATGCAAACAAATAATTTAGAAACAGCACTGCAGCAGCAGACAATCACTAAAATCCTGCTTTAGGAATGAAGCAATATGTTAACATTACCCTTTGGAGTTTTCGTGTCTGAGAACGAGCTTCCTGGAGACAGAATTCCAACTTCAACACCCTCTTCTTCAGTTCCTGATCAGCTCGTCGTTGTTTCTCTAACTGCTTACTAATCTTTTCAAAACTCTTGGGAGAAACCTCATTCAAAAGTTTCCTGAGTTCAGAATCCTTATTTGCTCCAGCCTTAGCAACAGCTTGCATGATATCATGCTCAATTCTCAAAACCTCATCTTTCAGCTGTTTTTGGGAACAATCCCTTGCTTGGAGATCCTTCTGCAAATTATCTAGTTGCTTTCCTAACCAAGTAACACGAGCCTCGTGCTCTTTCAATGAACTATTCTTCTGGTCCAGCTCCTTCAACAACGCTAAACACTGTACTTGGGCTGACTGAGCTAATGCCGCACTAGCATCAGCAGTGGCTTGAGTAAGCTGCGATCTAAGATCATCCAATTCCCTAAGGTACTGAGAGGCACATAACAAAGTCATATCAGAATCTTACAAGTGGATTTGGCTAGACCAAATAGATGATGAACTAGAAACAAGATTATTAACACAGGCTGCAACATGGTACCGTCATTACCCTTCATTCACACAGTTGCATTTTACATAAGATCTTATACTTCTCAATCTGGATAGACATCTTGTGCTTCTTTAAGAATGATATAACTGAAAATTCAATTATGATCTGACAGCACACTAGCAAAAACAGCTCTCTAAAGTTGGAAATCATCAAGACGTCAACATATTTGCTATCTAATTGGTGCCTTTCTATACAGAAACAATAAATATGTCAGCAATTAGTACAGGGAATGAATACCAGCAAAGGCCACAGTTGGTGCAATATGTAACATAACGTTTAATGATTTAACATATTCATTTAAATATATAATAAACAGAATATAACAGTTACGTAAAAATGGTACACATAATGTTTTATGATTAACCATAAACATTTCTGGAGTTAAACTACTAAATTAGAAGTTAAGAAGAGCAACTCCTCAATAATGCATAAAATAAGAACCTTTATAACTTGGCAAAACTTGCATAGAGTTCAATTTTGTGACCGACCTAGCTTTTACAAAAAAATTCCAAACTTATACAAGTTATAATAAAGATCAAAAACACTTGGTCATCTTTCCTTTGATGAGCTCCCCAAGAAATAACTAAAGAGGAAAAGCCTAAAGACATACAACTTTGAAAGGTCAAGATACAAAAAGAAGGATGCATTTAAAGACAAATCAACAACAGATAATACAACCATTAGGGCATGATGGGTTCTTTCTAAATCATGAATTAACAAGTGAAAATGAAACATAATTAGGGTACTATAAAGCTAATTAATCTGCAAAAGAAATGATAATAGTTCAAGAACTGGGATTTAGGCGGGACCTTTTCAGCAGCAGAGGCTGAAGCTTGAAGCTCCCCATTTCTCTCCTCTAAACTCTTCTGTAATTTAAAAATCTCCTCTTCCATGTGCTTTGCCTTTGTCTCTGCATCCTGATTTTTTTTGTTTGTTTTGAAGCGAAACCAAGTCTTTTAGTAAACGAGTTCCATTTGACCCCACAAACAAAAGCCCAAAAACAAGGTTTTGAAAACCAAACCGGACCGATCGGTTCAATTGAGAATCGCTGACTAATCCGGTTCATTCTATCCCGGTTAAATCGTTACTAGTGAATCGTAAAGAACCGATGAATCGACTGTGAACCATTCAAACTGGATCCGGAGTAAACCGTTAAGAACCGACCATCAATAAAAAATTAAAAAAGTTAAAAAAATATTTTTCGTCTTTTCATTTCCGGCCTTTTCGTTTCCAGATTTTTAGTTTTCTTTATTCTTATTTAAAGGATATTTTGACTTTTATTTTGAAGGTTAATCAATTTTTGTTTTGGTTTTAAAGAGTAATGTTTGGAGAGTTTTAATAGAAATAAATCAAATAACGAATGATGGAATTTTGGTGTTGTATTTAAGTATTATAATTGTGGGATGTTTTTAATTTTTTATTAAATGTGTTGAAACGATTTTTTCCTTAAAAGGTGAAAAAAGGTGAGATTTTGAAAACCATATTAATTCTTAATTGTATCTTTTTATTTTAAAAACATATGCGATTTAAAAGACCTCTCGTTTCGAAAAATTTTGAATTTCCTTTATGATCGAAAAATACGGTTCGAAGAGTCGCCACCAATCTTTGATTAGGGTGTGATTGGGCACCCAAAAATGCTTTGTCATTTTAAATAAAAATTAATTTTAATTAAAACAACAAATTGAGGTCTGCGTTACTAAAATCCGAGTTCGGGAGTCAGTTACGTGTGGGGAAGGATTAGCATCCTCACAACGCCCTAAATCGGTACCTAGTCGATTAATTAACGTCTTTGCAATGAACTTTACAAATTCGAATTTATTTTGATTTTTGATCTCATAAAATAAAAATGTAAATTTAAAACATTCAAAAACACTCAAACAAATTAAATTAAAATTATCAAGTCATTTTAGAAAGATAAAGAATGTTCGATTATTTACAAATATCGAGACCAGATCTTAAAGATATAACAACCTTTTCTCGATATATTTAAATAAACGAACATTTCTTTTTCTCTCGTTTCCAAATTTTAGGTGACGAATCAATTTTTTTGTTTCACTTTCGGGATACACTTTTATTTTAAAATCATTAAAAGCGGACCTCAAATCAGTTATAACTGCCCACTTAAAACAATTTTAAATTAAAAATATATTACCTTTAATCCAATTATGAATATGTCGAGTTATGCAAGTGAGGCTATCATGCAAATTATGCAAAAATGATGTCATGTAAAAATTAATTAAACATGCGATTAAAATAAATGAGTAAATAAATCTAAAGCTAAAATTACTATTAAACAAAGACCACAAACAAACTATCAATGCATTACATATACCAAGATCAACATAAAACTGAGACCAACTGTAAAACTAAAATAAAAACCGAGAAAATGTTATGCCAAATATGCAACATCACATAAACTTAAAATAACATACTCACATGACTAAAATGTGACATGCAAAAACCTTAAAGTCTAATATCTAAATAACATAAATTAAACAAATCAATATTTAGGACGAAAATTAAATGAACATAAAATAAATAGACATAATTAGATACATGCAAACTTCTACTTAGGGACTAAAATGTAACATGCGAAAATTAACAGTTTAATGTCTAAAACAGCAAAGATTAAATACAAGAATAATTAGGGCTAAAATTAGATGCGGGTAAAATAAAGAGACAAAACTATAAACATGCAAATGTTGATTTATGGACTAAAACGAACATGCAACAATTCAGAAGTTAAATGTCTAAAATAACAAAAACTAAATAATATAACATTTGGGATTGAAAATTAAAACGCATAAAATAAAGATGCAAAATTGGAAATAGGAAAACATTCGGTTTGGGGACCAAAATGAAAATAAACACAAAAACTCTAGGGATTAAACGACACTTAAGGACTCAGTGGCTAAAAGCTAATTAACCCTAAAGTCTGAGTGGCCAAAAGTTAATTTATCCAAAAAAACCTAAATAAACTAAACCTAAACTAAAAACCCAAATCACGTGTAACATACCCAACAACTTCCTCCCCTTTCTTTCCACTTTCCATCTCTCCCTCAGCCTCACACAGTGCCGCTCAACCCTTGAACCCCCTCCATCTCTCGGTCATGCTTTATACACACCAAACGACCCCCGGCTAAGGCCCCAACCCAATCTGACTCTTTAGTTATTTCTCTAGACCACAAACCCGAGACTAAAAGCTCGCTAAATCGACCTATAGAAGACCACAAAATAGTTCATACCTCTCAAAACCAAACCATCATCGCTCACCTCTAGACACTTTGACTCGCACTTCGCCGGCGACCCACGACAAGGAATCAACGATGAGGTAAAATATCTCACCTACCTACTATTTTTTATATATAAAAGAACCTCTCCTCTAAACTTTCGAATGGCGGTTATGCTCAAAGGAAACCACTACCAACCGACGTTCGACTAAACGCCATGGGATAACTACGATGCAAGTAAAAAAACAAAACAAAACTAAGCAAGGTAACGTAACTAGCTCATCTTCTCTGTATTTTCACTTGCTTAGAAATAAAAACATTCATGGAAATTACTAACAATTAAATTAAAGATAGGAAATACCAAGAAAATTGCTCCTTGATTAATATTGCTTTCCTGAAAAATGAATATGTTACACTGCTTGATCTCTTTCTCCCTATATGCTTTCTGTTGTTGTTTTTAGAATGGTCTCTGGTTCCTCTTTCGTTTTTGCTCTGTGCTCTCCAACTCTCACCGTCCTCTCGGTTAATTCTTCTATGGTTTTTTTCTTTGTCTCTCTAATCTCCCTGTTTCTTGTTTATCTTTTCTCTTTTATGATCCCCCACAATTTCCAGTAGTTAATCCCTTAAAACTGACCCCTTTCCTCCACTTTACTTTGGTTAACTCCCAATAACCGCCTTTTTAATTGTTTAGGATTTCACGTGGACTGGGCTTGATCATTGGATTGGGCCTCCAACTGCTCTGCTTCGGGTCTGCTCCGACTTAGCCCCGGACAAAAATGAGCATCTACAGCTGCCCCTTTTTGCTCATTGTCGTATAACGAGAATAGAGCAAAGATCAAAAGATGATCGAGTTTTTCCGGTCATGAGAACTTCAAAATATTAAACCACTCACTGTTACTTCGGGATAAATGAAACTTGAAAAATCTTCAAATGATAAGTCTGCTCCCTATTTCTTCAGAGAGTATAAGACTTGATCTTCAACAAACGTGTCCGCTCCCTATTGCTTCAGAGAGTATGTAACTCAAACGTCTTCTTCTTACGGGTTCGCTCCCTCTTTCTCTAAGGAGTATGGAACTCTAACATCTTCTTCTTACGGGTTCGCTCCCTCTTTCTCTAGGGAGTATGGAACTCGAACATCTTCTTCTTACGGGTCCGCTCCCTCTTTCTCTAGGGAGTATAGAACTCGAACATCTTCTTCTTACTGGTTCGCTCCCTCTTTCTCTAGGGAGTATGGAACTCAAACATATTCTTCTTACAGGTTCGCTCCCTCTTTCTCTAGGGAGTATGGAACTCAAACATATTCTTCTTACAGGTTCGCTCCCTCTTTCTCTAGGGAGTATGAAACTCGAATATCTTCTTCTTACGGGTTCGCTCCCTCTTTATCTAGGGAGTATGGAACTCGAACATCTTCTTCTGCTTTACTACTTTCTTGTGAAGACTTCTAGATGATTTGCTTCACTACTCTCTCGTGAAGACTTAAGTTTGATTTGCTTCGAAGGTCGAACCTGAAAATCAAACATTATCAATCATTAATGTGTGCTTGAAAAATTGAAAATCATTATACTCAAAAATTTAGAATTTAAGAGAATCTTTTCGAATTCATTTCTCTTGTGAGAACTTGTCTCGCCGCAACTAAATGCGAGAGTCTTCCTTGACTTGACTGTCATTTGAACCCCTCCCTTCCTGGGATATTGAATCGGTTAATAACTCCTCGCGCGTGTTTTCTTTTCTTTGTACTCGAGAAATTTTGCTTTTTCTCCTACATCTGATAGTCTGATGGTTTGCTCCAACACTCTTCCGAGAAGGTTTAAAAAGGATATGCTTCACTACTCTTCGATGAAGGCTTAGCTTTGGTTTGCTTCACTACTCTTTAGTGAAGGCTCAAAATGGATTTGCTTCACTACTCTTTGGTGAAGACTTGGCTTTGCCCCAATCTTATGTGTACAAGTCACTTTAATCGAGTGATTTCTCTTTTCATACGCGAACATCTCTGTTTTTCTTCTATATCTGATGGTTATCACTTTAGAGTAATACTTCTTCTGTGGATTAGACCTCTCAATTCTTCAGGGTATGCCCCTCTAAATGTGATTTCTTGCGTTTGAGGTTTGAAATCTTCCTTTCGACTTGTCGGGCTTCTGACATCATGCATCTTCTCTTTTCACTGGAAGATCTTTCAAAACCATGTGTTTATGCATGAAACACGAACACAAATGCAATTAATTGTATTAGTGTAATGCATATTCTTTTATGCAAATGATGTTCTCATGAATGCATAAATGCCGATTACATCTTCATTTGACTTCAAAGTGGTGAACTTAGTCTTCTTATACTTGATCATTCCTTTTCAGGATCTGCTTTATATACCCGTGTAGCAACTCATAATTTCCAACTTGCATTTTTGACGAGCCCTCTGATCTTCTTCTATCTCCTTGTCGTCTTTGTTATCTATCTTTATTTCGGAGAAAATGTTTTCTCTCTCAACTTCTTGCTATGGTCAGAAGCATGATTGTGTTGCCCCGTTTTTAGAGACTATGTACATGACTGCGCCAAACTCCACAAAGGTCAATGGGATAGTTTTATCTGTTCTGATTTGACTCTTGAAACATGACGCCAAGAGGACCCATCCAAATTTCATTTTCATCATATCATTTCTCATTTTAACCTTGGAGTTGCGTAAGACAACCTTCATCTTGGATAATGGAAACAACACATGATCGCAACAT